CCATGGTAATGAGTCATGCCAAGGAAGGAATGACATCATTAGCATGTTGAATACAAACATTGTCCAAAAAAAATCCTATCATATTCCTTTGAAACTTTAGTTCTGCCAGACACTTTTATGAGCTGAAATAAAATGACACACACGAGTTGGCTTTTCTTGAATTATAAGCAAGTATAAAGTGTCAAATAAAAAGCAATTACCCTGTATAGCGATATATTTACCACAAGTGAAAGAAAGTAGTCAACAACGTGACTTAAATCTTTGAAATTGCTTCATTTTCCATGAATGTAACAAGTACCTGTATTTACTACAATTCCAGGCTACATGTCAATTAATTAGATTACAAAAACTGCATATAGAAAATGAACCAATTTAGGCTTTGAATCTGGTTGTATACACTGCTTCCCATTGTTCTGTCTGAATCACCACTGTCAGGATACAAAACCTAAGGTATCACATTTACTATACAGACAGCACAAAGTTAGACTAACCCCAGGACTGCTCACCAGCTAAAACCCAGGTCATATCAAGCTTTTGAGTTTGAATTTCCGATAAGAAAAAAATGAAACATCTGCATTGGTTAGGAAGGGGGGGTCTCATGGAGTAGCTTGAAAGCTATGAGAGGAGTTGAAGTAAAACTTAGAAGTGATTGTTTTATAGAGTCACATTGAATATACAGCAGGTAAAATAGTAAAGAGATCTTTTATTTCCATGTTCATTACTTTTGACAACAGTCTATCACTCATTTTAATCTAAAATGTGTTTAAATCTTAAAAATAGTTTCTTTAGCATGTTGTAGCTCTGTTTTTATTTTTTTAAAGCCTCAAATGATCTGTAGATAGTAAGATATAATTGATGTGGACGGTAGGCAGATGTGAGCACCAACTGGGTTGTCCCCACCGTAACTGCCCTTTCTAGGTTTCCGGCTTGCATTTGTGAGTCTAGTTTTTCTAGTATAATAAAGTTCCAGCTTTTCAGCTCTGCTGAAACTTTATGGTTCCTAGGAGAGACCACCAATTATTAAGCTTATATTTCATCCTCACTCCACGCGACACTTCCATAATTCTAGTAAATTTTCAAATTGCTGATGTTCAGTTAAATTAAGTCAATTAAATTCTTTAATGCTACAGAAAACATCTGACAAGTTGTCCTATTTGTGCAAAGCTGTGGCATTTGGCTTAAACATTTAAGTTACTTGAGCACAAGTTAGCAGATCTCAGAAAGAATACAGTAATCTGTAGTCACAAATTTGTGTTACAGCTAAGAGTGATTAAGGCTTTAAACTTTTGGTGTTGGTTGTGGTAAGGATACACAGATAGTTCCAGTTTCAAATTACAGTCAAGTCTTGAGTTTGAAAGCATGAAGGTACTTCCCATTTAAGGTTGGTATTTTATACACTGACTTCAATAATGACACTCTCAAATCTGAGAGAGAATAGGAGCAGATGACATTTTAAAGAGAAAGATTAAGTCATATTTGGAGAAATGGAAGGCTTTATGGCATCTTTTTAAAAGGCAGTCTCTGGTTGACTTCTGAGGATGTCAGTTTTCCACCTGCTAATGGTTTGTAACTCCAGCTAAGAGTGAGGGGGCCAAACGACCTCTCTGTTTTGTACAGGTTGCCAGGTAATGCCTTTGGAACTTGGAACTAGGGTTTTGCTATTTTGATAGGCTATTTATAAATAGAAGTAAGAGCGATTGTGTTCCACACTGTTGTTTCAAAGGTTTCCTGGGCTATGCATGAGTCAACCTGCCTTTGAAACTGTCTGGTAGGAGTTTGCTGGTGTAAGTTTAGCATCACTTATAAAAATCTAACACTGAAAAGCAATTAGCTGAATATCTCTCTCATTCAATCCAGTTCTAGCTGAGTCTAGATTTAATTCACAAATTTCAGATAGGGGGTGAGGCAAGGATGATCCAGTGAGTTCCATTAATTTTGGAAAAAGAATATCCTTTTAGTTGCAGTTTGCATATAATTAGACAAGAATTGACATCATTTTTCTAATACCAATTTATAAAATCACAAATTAAAAGGATTATGATGAGGCTTGATTGATTATTTCATGCCACTCTTCATCATCATCATAATCCCTTAGAATTTCTAGTGTTCCCCCCACTCTTTTTACCACGAACTCTTTTTTCCTCTAACACAGTAGGTGTTCAATAAATATTTGTTGAAAGAAAGTATGGATACTTAATAAATTCTAAATATCAAAAGGGTTATAAACTTGTACAACAATATCAGAAGTTTAATCAAAAAACCAGTGATATATCAATTTATAGGAAATAAATCATCATATATTTTCCTGTTGAATGATAACCAAATCAGAATCTAGAAGTCATCTGTTAGAATGTAAAATTTTAAAGAACATAATCACTTATAATCTCTTTGCTTCTTTAGTAATTTGTGTCCAGTGTTGCTGCAACTCATAGTTTTTTCTTCTGGGGGGGTATTGCTGGGCCACATATGATTGTGAATATTTTATCACTCAAATATTAATTTCACATTTTATATGTGTCTGGCACACTGGGAAAAATATAGTTTCATCACAAAGAAAAGATTGGCTTTCAAAAAGTAACTATACCATTCAATTAACCAAAAGACATGAGACAGACTTTAAGTTACTTGTGCCTTAATAATCAATGATCAAGAGACAGAAAAAACTTAAGTAAATGTATTTCATTGACTTCCTTCTCTCAAAAGAAACCTAGAATGACAAAGGAAATGCAAGCTGCTTCAGCCACTTGACTTGCAAATCAATTTGGCCTGGATTATAACTGGGAATTAAGCCCCAATAAAAGGTATAGGGCTGGTGCTAAAACAACAGGCACCAAGGCAAGAAGCTTTGCCATTGACAGTGAATGACTGAAAAGCTGTGTCAAAAAAAGACTATAATTTGGTTAGATGTACTATGGGGGCAATAGAACAGCTGCAGGTCAGGTTATTGTGTCTTGGCATAAAGATCTTAAATACCCCAACTAGCTGCATCTAGCTTGATCCCCATTTTAAAAAGCTTAGAAAAACTGTAGCGCTTTCCTGGCATGTGGGCAGTTTTTGTTGAATAAAGGGCTATTAACGGAAAAAAAAAAAGTCAGATAGAACACTGTGTTCTCTCAGCTTTTCTGGGAAAGGAAGTAACAATGAAAATGACTCCATCACTAGTATTATTTGCAACTTTGACCCAATATTTTCAAACTATTTCTGTAAAAATTATCCTCTTTTCTAGACCACGTTTTTAGATCATAAAACCCAACCAGATTCTATGGTGGGAAAAATTCAGTACTCATTGGCCATTGCCTAAAATCTGTCATTCTCCAGTGTGTGGTATACATCTATTTTGTGTGTGTGTGTGTTGGGGTGGGGGAAGTAGGGGTGTTTTCATAGGTAATCTGTGTATGTAGATTGTAGAGGATGTTTAGGGGTTAGGTTACGCACAGGAAAATTTGGAATGGAAGCTGTCATGGTTGGAAGTTTAGTCCTTCTGTGTAGCAGTGACTTTCAACCCCAATTGGACGGAAAGGGGAAAAAGCTCTGGTTTTTTGTTTGCCTTTTTGTAGGTTAAGCATCCCTTTGGAAATGAAGCTACAAAACAGATACCCAGCCAAACGTAAACAAATAGGTGTCAACCTTCTTGTGAAAATAAAGCTGAACTAAATTAAATATCTATCCTTTCAGAAACTGGACTGACAGTCTGCCCTTCAACTCTACCCCAGCCAGAGTCATCTCTTCCCCACTCTGCCACACTCTGTGTTTCAAGAATAAGCTGAGTGCTTCACATGTAACTACTTCAAGGGCTTGTAATGGTCTAGCAAATATGGCGCACACGATTCTTTCACGTGCTTGAATGAAAGAACAATAGCCTCTTGTCATTTTCTCTTTGGGCCTGTGCTCTTTAGATTATATTGGTAGGGGAAAGAAATTTGGAGATCAAGCACTAAAAACTGCAGCTTTGTAGACAACATGGGATATACTATTGAGATTTGAGCAAAATCCCAATCTGGTTAGTCCAAAGGGCTTATCATTCAAAGGGAACATCCTTGTCCCCATTACTACCACCTCCATAAGGACAAACCCAAAGCTCCTTTAATGTTAATATTAATGGTTATAAATTTGGCCCAGTGGTAGGACAGAGAAAGGGCTCCTAGGAACCAACTGCACAGTGGAAGAGCTGTCAAGTAAACATGTTTTCCCCAAATCAAGTTTTAGTAGAAACTTTTCCATTGGAGGACTTTCTCTAGATCAAAGCTTTTAAGTACAATTAAATAAAATAGTATTCTTTTAAGGAATTGAGATCTACAATATATTTATATCCATATTTCTAAACATCCAAGGCTAAAAGACATAAAAAATAAGTCGCGATGCAGTCACTGAATAGCAAGGCATGTCCACGTTTCAAAGAGGCATAAGACATGAAATGATATAACAGTAGAAGGTCAAAAATGTGAAACAGATTTAGCATAGTCATATTGCATTAAAAAAAAAGGTAGAACACACCATTTAGTTACCTAAATTAATTTACAGGAAAACGGGATCTTAGAAGTCCTCCGACGAACCAAGTGCAGAGAATCTAAAGGTGGGGAGTGCACGTTTTATTTCTATCTGTCCCCTTTAATAAGAGAACGTGAGGTAATTAGAAAATATTCAATGCATTCTGGACTGTTCTGCTAATTGTCCCAGGCAAGGGAAATCAAAATGCTTCAGAAAAGTAAGGCCTAGCAGAGTATTTGGGTAGAGGCCTCCCTTCAATCAGCTGGTCACTAAATGGGAATCTCATTATACACTCACTTCGTAGAGATGGATTGATCACGCTGTAGAAAAGGCTGGTCGCTGAGGATGTGTTTCTTCCACGTTTCCTCAGCCTCCTCTGCTTTTACCGAGTTAGGTCGTCAGAGTGGCGAAGGAAAATAGGTCATTTTTCCTTCATAAAGTATCATTGGATGATTCCTCTATATTAATTATATGAACCTTATATAGTTACAGATTAAAAAAATTGTTTTTAATTTTTCATCTCAAAGAGTTCTCAGTCCCCACCCCTCACAAGGTACCATGAAGGGGCACTAAAGTGCATTTTGATGTAGGGGAGTAGAGTTTAAAGGTGCTGTCCAAGCTAAGAACCAAGATGATGCTGTTTAAAAAAGAAAGGCAATTCCTTCTACCTCCATCTCTGGAGTCAGCTGAGGGAGGGCAATGAACTAGGCCCTCGCCAGAGGATTGTCCTAACTCTTAACTTTAGAGAAAACTGTGTAAGGACCTGCACATATAGACTCATTTATTTGTCCAAAATAGCAAAAATAGGCCTATTTCACCCTTAAGAAAGTATTTGCAAATCTGATCAGTCATGATCATAAAAACGTGAATGGATTCCAGATGCAATCCATGTGGGCATGCTTGGTGGTACTAACTATGCATCTTCAGCTTAAAAGAACATGCTGCTGTTCATTTTCATCAAAACATGACTTCTAACTACCATAAATAAAATACACCTGAAACAATTCAATCTTTTTCTTACAATAATTACTTTTACATTAAAAAGTCACCATCATCTTCAGATATATCGAAAATTAGGACTCTAAATCTTAATTATTTCCCAGTCTTAGTTAACAATCTTGCACAGGCCCAATAATCCAAAACTTGGAGCTCTGATCTACACAGCTTGGCAGGTTTCACACAGTTTGACAGGTAGGCAACTGTGAGATATGCTTTTTTAAAATTAGCATTTTCTATCAAAACAGTCTGAAATCTTTTAAAATCCTCATAGAGACTGTATTTGTACAATGCCACAGTCACATAGCTAGAAAGGAGAAAACAAAATACAGTCTGGAAGATTCACCACAGTCCAAGTTTTCTCGGTCCTTAGTTTAAACAACCATGAGCCCAGGAAATCCAATTAAATACAGTGCTTTAAATAGGAGAAGACTTGGTCCTAGAATAACTTAAGCTACTAAACAGGGACAGTCTCAACCACGGGTGATTTGATGCACTCTTCGTGCAATCTGCTCTTTTCTGCAAGGCTCAAAGAATTTTCAGCAGGATGCTCTGAAATGTGACTGTCACCATTCAATGTAGAGACAAACCCTTCCTGGGAGGGGCCTTTCAAGTATGAGTGAAATTCCACTTGAGGATGATTGGACCTATGTTCGGGATATAAGCTATTGCAGGGCACACCGCTGTCATTTTCTGAAGAGGAGCAGCAAACGATGACCGAGGGGTTGGCAGCTGGGTAGTGGGAGGTGCCGTAGGCTTCTTCTGCTTGTCGGGCATAGTCAACAAACTGCTCCGGGGTCATGGTGTAAGGCACCAGCGAGAGGGTACCATTTTTGACAGTATCTCTTTCAGAGTAGTTCTCAGAGATCTGGTTAGGAGTTCCTGGAATGTGGCTATCTATTTGGTAATACAGAGTTGAAGAGTTGGCATAAAAAGGAGCATTTTTCGTGTGGCTTTCATGAACGGCGGTGCCATCAGAATAACAAAGGACGGAAGGAAGAGGGACAACTTCAGCATGGGTACCCAAACCTTCCACGAAGCTGTCCCCTTTCTCATCATCGTCATCCTCTTCCTCCTCCTCCTCTTCTTCTTCCTCTTCCTCCTCCTCATCTGACTCACTAGGTGCCAAGCTTTGCGTGCTAGAATCAGTGACTCCGCTGCAGAAGCTGCTCCCATCCTCCTCTTCCTCCTCCTCCTCCCCTTGGCAATCTAATTCCTCAGCGGACTGCAGGTGCAGCACAGCAGCCTGCGGTTCAGTTTCAATCTCAAAATTGTCTGCGATAGAATATTCTACGGAGTGAGCGACAGGGCCCATGGAACTACTGTGAGCGCTTATCTCACTGTGGCAGCCGTTCAGTGCGGGGATTTGCTGCTCTCGGTTTTTCTCCAGTTCCAGTTTCATTATTGTGTGCAAAAAGTGAGTCCGGACACGGATAGGATTAAATTCAATTCTACCTGCCGTGTTACTACATCCTTCTTTAGTGCAGCCACATGGGAAAGACATTCGATCCACCTTGGAAGGAAGAACACAGGTTAGCCCCACGGAACTCTTACAAACCAAATGAAAATCCAGTATCTTTCCGCAACCCCTTTGAGTCTGGCATTACTTAATTCCACTCACGCCAGAACAAATGACCATCAAACTGAAAACAGTAATGAAAAGGGGAAGTAAAGGCTTAAAACCTAAGAGTTCACCTAGTTTTAAAACCTGTATTCAAAATAAAAGTGAGTTATGGTTATAAGCGTATATTTTTAGTTCATTGACCCCTCCTGTGCTTTCTTGACTTCTTACTCCATTCTCCCTTTTTTCCCTTCTCTCTATTCCACTAATTTTGCTCCGATTTTTTCAATGTTTCTGTCCTTTCCCCACGCTCCCTTTCCTTCCACTGCATGCGAGTTCACATGCCCAATTTTAAACACACTTACTGCTCTCATCTCCACCTGCTATTTTTAATTTAAATTATATGACATTTCCCATACTAGCCATGCCCCTTTTTCTTTGCTTATTATAAAGTGAACTTCTCTGCCCGAGGAGTCCAGATTGACACCACTTAGTATCATGCAGCCTGATAATTCACTTTCATGGGTTTACCTTCTCATTCTTGTGGATCCTTGGTAGATGATGTACGTGTACTGCAGGGCTGCGAAGGGTGTGCACGCTCATGACTGACTGGTGGACTCATGTGTTTAGGTCCTGGCTCCCCACCTCCCATCCATCAGACTACAAGCTTTTCAAGGGAAGGGATGTTCATTTACACAATATCCCAAAATTATTTGAGTGATTGGACTGTAGATAGAGTCATTGGGTTCAGCAAGAGTCAGTGGACTGAGCGCTTGACTCAGGTGAGAAGTGGAATTCTGGGCAATCCAAGCATACTCCTAAGATATTTGCAAATGGTTTCAGACTCCGCCACTTAACCTGTATGCAGACCAGAGCCCAGGCAACCAGCAAGAACTTGCCCTGCTTGTCACCTTATCGAAGTGGGGGGAATTTCCTGTGCTACAGAGAAGAAACAGATTGTAGCACAGTCATCCTGGTCCCCATAAAAAGTAGTAGCAGATGTCAGAGCCAGAATCTATAGCAGTTTTCCTCATCCTGAATCCCTTTTCTGTGAATCCACCTCAAGCAACTGTTCAGCTGATGAGAACTGTCTTTTCCTTTGGCCTGCCCGAGGGGCTCTCCTTATTGACAGAGACAAGTTTCCCCATAAAATAACATCACCCAACTAATCATGGAGTACCAGTGACATTATAGCTGGATGGAGACCTGAGAATCGTCTAGTCCAGGGGTTGGTAAACCTTTTTTTGTAAAAGGCCAAAGAGTAAATATTTTAGGCTTTGTGGGCCTTATAGTCTCTGCGGCAACTAAACTCTGCTGGAGAAGAATGAAAGCAGTCCCGGACAACACGTAAACAAACAAACAAACAAAAACGTGGCTGCGCCTCAATAAAACTTTATTTACAAAAACAGCTGACAGGCCAGATTTGGCCTGTGAGTAATAGTTTGCCAACCTCTGATTTAGTCCAGCCCATTTGTTTTAGAGATGTGGAAACTGAGCCCAGAAAGTTTACCTGACTTGCCAGTTTTACATAGCTGGAAAAAGCAGAGCCAGGAGTAGAACTCAGTTTTCTTTAGTCCCAGTCTAGTAATTTTTCCACTAGGCTATACCATCTCTAACCAAGCATCATTTTACGACCCATGGATGGATCAGAAAATACAAACTCAAATGTTAGAGTTGTCATGATCTCCCTGAATGTTTATAAAAAGCCAAAATAAGCTAGTATAACAAACGAATCCAAGGGGAAATAATTTCCATGGACTCAGCTGCAGCTTGGGTTGCCTTTCACATTATATCTTATGTGTATAAGCATATTATGTACACCCATGAATGTCCTCGACTTAGTAGTTCTCTCTTCTTGAATCATGTGTCTTGCCTGGCCCCAAAGTTTCCTTCCACGTGTGGGAAACTTCACTATATGTAGCACAACTGCCTCTTTAGGGTGTGGCATATAATGTCTTGTCTTTGGAGTCCCTGAAATCCCCATCCTTACCTGACACTTAATGCCTGCCAGGCTGCAGGTACACGTTTCTGGATCACAGAACACGCGGCAGTCACAGCCACAGTCCTCTCGCGATAGGCGGATGGCTCGTAGCTCGTGCTTTTCTTCCACATCAATTTTTTTCACTCCGGACGCCCGCAGCAGCGCTCTCCGTTTTTTGGTTGGCAGGGGTTGTAGAAAGAAGTACTCGTCTACCTCTGTGTTGTCTAAATCAATATCATCATCAGAAATGTCGTCCACTGTAAGGGTGCTAGCTTCTTCCGATTCCACTGTGCCATTCTTAGTCATCTAGAAATACAAAGCAGCAAATAAGAGACTTAGCCTGGGCAGGGTCTAAAATCCCTTACTTTCATACTCGGTAGGAGTGAAACTACTGTATAACATCATGTCCCCAGAATCAATAAGTGTTTGGGGTCAAATCATTTCCTTTTATTTTTCTCTTTAGAGAAGTCACAGGGAGGAAAATGAGGCATCAAAATGAGAGGCTTTTAAATGTACTGGTAACAGAAGACTGTTAATTGGAACTCTAACCTCCTGAGGTTAGGAGCTATAGTTCTTAGAGCTTTTAACCAGTGCGATGTGAAAGAGACCAAAGGTTACAGATGCCCATCAGTGAAGGCTATCTTTAGACTCCGTTCGTGACGGGCAGCTCTGATGTTGGGATAAACGTGTCCTTGTTCAGAGGTGATAGCATCTTAGTGGAAGCCGTTGCCACCTAAATCAGCAAACATGTTGTCCTTGAAATAACGACCCTATCTTGGTCTCCAGCAAAACCATGGACTAGGAAATAAACTTGTGCTGCACTGTGCTATTGGGATTACAAACACGGTTACCCTACAGAACATTCCAAGAATGAGGGCTTGATATGAAGTAATCAGTCAGGTCAGTGTGCTCTCAGTAAGACAAGGAGCAGAGGGCAGTGCCGGCAGGCTCTCTCCAACAGGCAACTGAAACACTAAACTCAGCCCTCAAAGGAGTTCACAAGAACCTGTGCCCAAAGCAATACCTTCTGCATAATAGCTCGTGTGGGCAACTATATCTCATATACCTGTAACTATTCTGCTTCTATTTATATTTCTTTTCTAAATTAATTTCATCCATCAATAAACCCTGAATCAGTATTTCACTTCTTATTGTTATACCACCACATATTATGTTTCTTTCACAAAAATAACATTTAGAAAGAGATATTTTCTCTGAATATGAGCAAGAAATGTATTCTGAGAAGCAGCACAGGGATAAATGCAGAAACTCCAAAAGGGATTATTCAAGAAAGTTCTAAATGCAGAAGCTATTTTGATTCTTTAATTTTTCAGTGTGTTATATCATAAACTTCATTAATTGTAATTATTACCATGCTTTTTGATCTTAATAACAGTTCAGTCATTACACAGTTAAAATACTCTGGTGACATCAGATATCATTCTCTCATGTTCAGAGGAAAAAGATCAACACTTGGATAAGAATATTTATTATTGACTAAAAAATCCCAAACCAGACAACGCTGAATGTATTGGAAAACAAATAGAAGACTAGTCTTTGCCCTCAAGTAGAGGAAACAACATAGTAGCAAGCATGTATTAAATATATTACAAAGGGTCCCTGAAATGCATTTTCAAAAGCTACTAAACTATATTTTTTGAATATTTCAGAGCTTAAATCTGTGTTCTTGCAAAGATGGGCATTCCCTTTCATTGGGTTTTGTTTCTCAGTGTCATCCGCAATGTATTTCCTTTCTTGGCATTTCTTTATAAATATGTATTGGTTAAGCTGTCCAAGTTCCTGTGATGTCCACTACTAGGAGGTTACTTTGATTGATTGCTTTTATCATTTTCGTTAATTCTTATTTGCTAACAGAAGCATCTTTCTATCTGTAAGGATCTGATTTTCTAAGGAATTCAAGTGTGTAATTGCCTCACATATACTCAGTCCTCTGTGATTGGTAAAGCTGCATTAACAAATAAGAGAGCTACCTTTCCCATCTTGTCACCTGTAGGGTGTTTAGATTTGTTTTCATTAAGGCTTGGCCTGCCTATGTGAACCTCCTCAAGCTTCTGACTCCACAGCGCATGTAGAGCATCCAGGACTTGGTTATCTTGACTCATTTCAATACTTCCTTCCTACTTAATCTCCATGTTCTATAATATTTATCCTCCTTCGTGTAACTGGTAACATTATAAAAACTACAAAAAAATCCCCTATTTTATATTAACAGGTTTTGATTTTTAAAAAAATAATAGTTGCTATCATATCAATGAAAATTTTTAGGGCAATGTGAATAACTAATCGGCATCTAAAAATTAAAAAAAAAACCAACTGTATCTCACATAAACTACGGAAGATGCTTACTCCAAATATAAGTGCTCTTAGAAATAAAATCTGCATCTCTTATTCCCACATACAAATTACAGTAGACAATTTCATTTCAAAATAAAAATTCCACTAAGAATCTGAAAGTCCTTCACACAGAGCTATGTACTGTTTTCACTCTTGTTCAAAAACCCACAGGGGCCCTAATCTAGATTTTCAAAATCTCACATTAACATTGAAGTGATCTGGCTAGGTTTTATCCTTGTCTCTCCAATATCATCTCTGCCATTTCTAACGAAAACTGGAAATATTCTAGTTCATCAATTGGCTGATCTTCCCCTCCTCATAATTTCTGGTTTGTTATGTAACCATTGAAAGATATCATTCTCTTCTATCCCCTCGGAAGTCCTTCCCCAGCTCTCTCCAGTCTACACCCATTTCCTCCTTTGAAACCCAGGCCAAACCTACTGAGTTTAAATACTCTGTAAAATCAGAGTATTTCATAGATTATTTTCAAATGCATTTTCTCATATTAGAGCAAAAGGGAAAAAAAGTCAATGAGCTCCCTATTTCTGTCCACAACTCATGTCTATCATTCTCTCAAGACCTAGTGCAAAGAAACCAGGGAGTCTTCCAACATCATCTCATCTACTTTTGCTGACTCCTTTACTCCATGACCCATCGTCACAAGAATGTTCATTTTGTACATTTTTTTCTCTTTTCCCCCCAACTTTATAGAGATACAATTGACATATAACAATGTGTGAGTTTAAGGCGTACGATGTGTTTATTTGATACACTTATAGATCGTATAATGATTACCACTGTAGCATCAGCTAACATCTCCATCATATCACATAATTACCATTTCTTTTTCGTGGTGAGAACATTTCAGATATACTCTCTTAGCAACTTGCGAGTATATGATACAGTATTGTCAACTACAATCGTTATGCTGTACATTAGCTCTCCAGAACTTATTCACCTTATGACTGGAAGTTTGTACCCTTTGACCAACATCTCCCCATTTCCCCCACCCTCGAGCAGCTGGTAACCATCATTCTACTGTCTGTTTCCATGAGTTGTACTTTTTTAGATTCCACATATAAGTAATATCATACATTATTTGTCTTTCTCTGACTTATTTCACATAGCATAATGCCCTCAAAGTCCATCCATGTTGTCACAAATGGTAGGACATCCTTCTTTCTCATGGTTGAGTAGTATTCTATTGTATATACATATAACATATTTTTCTCTTGACATGAGTGTTACCTTTAAATGTCTTCTTCATATCTCAAAATAGACTCATTGAATCTTCAGACTTTAGTTCATCAGATGCAGCCTCCTTATATTAGGCATGATGAGGTCCAGATTAATTTGGACCTCTGCAAAACATGCTTGTAAAACCTAATTCCCTGACCTCTATTTTTTTTTTTTTTTTTTTTGTGAGGGAGATCAGCCCTGAGCTAACATCCGGGCTAATCCTCCTCTTTTTGCTGAGGAAGACTGGCTCTGAGCTAACATCTATTGCCCATCCTCCTCCTTTTTTCCCTCCCCAAAGCCCCAGTGGATAGTTGTATGTCATAGTTGCACATCCTTCTAGTCGCTGCACGTGGGACGCGGCCCCAGCATGGCCGGAGAAGCGGCTCGTCGGTGCGCGCCCAGGGTCCGAACCCGGCCGCCAGCAGCCGAGCGTGCGCACTTAACCGCCAAGCCATCGGGCAGTCCCCCCCTGACCTCTATTTTAGTATGTTTTTCCCAGTATCTCACAGATAGATTCTAAGTTTCCCATAGTACATAACGCAGTGCTGGGACTCCAGCATGGAATTAAGCACAATGTGCCTAAAAGCTATTCTGTCTATAAAATAAATGCATGCAAAGTAATCAGCACATTCAAAGCAATGCTATCTTTTGAGATAGACCCCCTAGAAGGCAATCCGGGCCTTGGACCATTTCTAGTTTTGTGCTCTCTCCCCAAAATAACATTGCCTTCCCAAGAGCTCAAAGAAAGCTTGCCAAAAACGTGGCTTAAGGAGACCACCAAATAATCCTAACCCTCAAACATGCTTCTGTTTCTGTGTCCATGTGTGTATAAAAAAAAGAGAGATTGGAAGTGGGGGAAACAGATATAAAATGATAACTATATTAATGACTACAGTTTTTTAATCTGTGTGCCCAACATTGCTCTAAACACTTTATCTGCATTAACTTAGCATCACAAAAATATCATAAGGTAGATATTATCATTATCTCCATTTAACTGAAGAGGAAACTGAGGCACAGGAGTGCTAAATAACTTGCCCAAGATCGCAAGTAGTGAGGCTGTGCAAGAAGTCACAATCCTAGATATTTGATTCTACAGCTTGTACTCTTAACTGCCATGATAATTACATATACACACTGTTTTTATATATTTAATATACACTGATTAGTCTTTTGTGTTTTTGTATTAGGCATTAGGTATATCAATGCACAAGAAACAGGTCTTGATCTCAAAGGATTGAAGTAAAGAGATGAGGAATCTAGTAATTTTAATCCAGTTCATAAGGATTTCCTGGCTGAAGGTGAACACTGGGCATGAGAGTATATAGGAGGGGCCACCTAGAGGTGGAGCTGGAGGTGGGGTGAGAAGGGAAGACTTTCACATCTAAGCTTAACTCTGAAGATGGAGAGCAGTTAGATGAACAAGTGGAGGCAGAATGCATTCCACACTGAGCAACAATAGTTTCAAAGGCCTGAGATGGGACAAAGCATGATGCTTTCATCGGCTTGCAAATTATCCAGATGACTGGACTCGTATGGGATCCCTTCCTGTCTTGGTCCATAAGCAAAGGAAAAAAAGTAAATAAAGAGTTGGCCTTTAGAGAGTAGATCCTCTGTTCCCCTGCCTTAGTCACCTTAGAGGTGATAAGTAATGACTTAACTCATGATTTGATCTAATGATCTTTATCTTATTTTATATTTATCCTACATCT